TCTGCATGGCAGAGACAGATTAAATTGAGTCAGAGGAAACAAAGCTCTATTTCTTCAACTTCTGAATCAGTGAAGGTAAAAATTTGTACTCGCTCCAGTTAGAAGGAGAGAAGTCAGATAAAGTGCTTGGGAACCCCAGGAACCAAGGATAAGAGGAATCATGACAAGTGCTGGAGGAAGAAAGGAAAAGCGTGGATATTCCTGTAGAGGGAACAGCCTGTGCAAAGGCACAGAGATCCGAGTGTGACTGGCCCTTCTGGAACCTTGTGAAGGTCACTGTGACTGGAGTGGACAGGGCAGAACTGGAGAATGAATTGGAGTTGGGGGATAAGAGGCAGGGCCCAGGAATGGGCGCCTGGACCAAGGCAGTGGCAACAAAGAGTGGACAGAAACGTACAGGGAGAAAAACCAGCCTCTGGTGGCTGACTGGGTCTGGGGGTGGAGGAGGTGTCTGGCCAGCACTCATTCCTGCATGAAGCAGATTTATAGTACCTACTGTGCGCCAGGCACTTGCCCTGCCCTGTGGAGTTTACATTGCAGTGGGGGGTGGGGGGGAAGGGACTGAGAAATATGTAAACAACTAAGCAAGATCATTCCAGACGAGTACCATGAAGAAAATAAAAATGGGATGTGACAAAGTGTGATGGAGTGGGGCTCATCAGAGAAGGCCTTTCTGAGGAGGTGACATTTCAGTTGAGACCTGAATGTAAGAAGCAGCCCCCATGGGAAGATGGGGGAAGAGCATTCTATGCGGAGAGAACAGCAAGAGCAAAGGCCCTGAGGCCAGCATGAACTTGACAAGTTCAAGGAGGAGAGGAAAGGCGGGTGTGGCTGGAGTATGTAAGTAGGGGCAGAGTGCGCAGGTGGGCCTTGTAGGCCCTGGTGAGGGAGGGGGGTGGACATTAGGTGCAATGGGAAGCCATTAGAGAGTTTTAAGCAGGTGACACATGAGGCTATTCAGGCCAAGGACACCACCCTTGCTGGTGAGCCCAGGCCTGGCACATCCCAGCCTCAAAAGAGCTCCCTGGGGATGATTTGGTAGCTCCAGCCCTAAATCTTATATTTAAATAGAATCTGGACATGTTTAATCTGCCCCTTCTCTCTACCCTACTGCCCTGCTTATAAACGCAGTTGCCTAGTTATTTGATTTTAGTCCCCACCAGAGTGTGGAATACACAAGCGCAAGGTCTGTAACTCTTTCTCTGTTGTCTTTCCAGTGTCTGGCCTGGCACAGGGAGTGCTCATAAATACTTGACAAATACATGTCCTCATCCACTCGTGCCTGGAATATTCGCCCTGCCTCCTAACAGGTCCGTCTTCCAGGCTCACCCTCTTCAGGCCATTCTCTAAGCTGTAGCCATAGTCAGTCTGTCAGTCAGCACATTTTTACTAAGTTTTTACTATATGTCAGACATATTCTAGGTAGTGGGGATTATTATGGACTGAACTGTTTCCCCTCTCCCAAAAACACTCATATTGAAGTCCTAACCCCCAGTACCTCCAAGTCTGATGGTGTTTGGAGATAGGGTCTTTAGTGAGGTGATTCAAGTAAAATGAGGTCATTAGGGTGGGCCCTAAACCAATATGATTGGTGTCATTATAAAGAAGAGGAAATTTGGACATGGACTCGTACAGAGGGAAGGCGATGTGAAGACAAGGGAGAAGATGGCCACCTATAAGCCAGAGAGAGAGGCCTGGAACAGATCCTTCCCTCACAGCCCTCAGAGGGAATCAACCCTACCAACACCTTGATCTCCAATTCCGAACCTCCAGAACTGAGAAAATACATTTCTGTTGTTTAAGCCACCCAGTCTGTGTTACTTAGTTACTGCTCTAGGAAACTAATACAGTGACATAACAAAAAGACAAGGCCCCGATTCTCATGGAGCTTATGTCCTTGGTGAAGGAGACACGATCAATTTTAAGATTTTAGGATCAAAAACAGGATGATGTGCACGAGCGAGCCTGGGGCTCGGGAACAGATCCTTGAGTGGTGGAGGGGGCAGAGGGCCTCTGCAGGTGACATTCACCCCAAGACCCGAGCAAGGGGGAGCAGCCAGCTGTGTGAGGTACTGGGGTGCTGCAGAGAGCTCCAGGTGGTGGGAACCGCAATGCAGAGACCCTAAGTGGGAACAGAAAAAGGCAAGGTTGCTGGAGTGCAGCAGACCAGGGGAGGAGGGTGGCAGTTGAAATGAAAGCAAGAGGTGGTCAGAGGCCAATCATGGAAGGCTTGCAGAGAAGGCATGGAGTTTAGATTTTATTCTGAGTGCAATGAAAACTAGTGGAAGACTGTAATCATGGGTGTGATATTACTGGATTTACGGTGCAAAAAGATCACTCTGGTACCTGGGTGGGGTCCCAGAGAGCAAGCAGGGAAACCCCGAAGGAAGCAGATGCAGGGTCCAGGCAAGAGATGGAAACACAAATCTGACCATGGCCCTTCTCCATGTACCCTCCCTGGGCATCCACCCACCCCCACCCCTGCCTTCCAGGTCCTCAGGCCTGTGTGTGAGTCTGCCCAGCTGGGCCATCTCCTCAAGGCTGGTGACCCTGTCCCTGCCTTGATAAATCCTCCTCTTGAGGCCTTGTGGGGCCGTGGCCAGGAGGTGCTCAGTCAGTCCGGGGGAAGGCCAAACCATGAAGAAATGAGTGCATTAATCAGAAGACTCTACACTAGAAGGGTAGATGGTCCACCTGCTTCACCTGAGGCCCTAAGAGGAGAAGCAGCTTGCTTAGGGGGACACACAATTTAGTGGTCAAAGGGGCACAGGAGAGGGGAACTCATTAGACCAAGGTGGTTCACAAGCATCCTGAAACGCAGTTCTGGCCACCTCACTCCCAGGCCCCAACCAATGACGCTTCCTGTCCTCAGCAGCAGTGTTTATCTAAGTGAGGTCTGTGGATCCTGTTATGCACTGAATTGTGTGTGTCATCCCCCCCTACCCCCAAATCCGTATGTTAAAGCCTTAACTCCTAATGTGATTTATTTGGAGATAGGGCCTTTAAAGAGGTAACTAAGGTTAAATGAGGTCATAAGGGTAGGGCCCTAATCCAGTATTACTGGTGTTCTTGTAAAAAGAGGAAGAGACACCAAGGGTATGCATGTATAGAGAAAAGGCCCTCTGAGGACACAGTGAGAAGGCAGCTGCCTGCAAGCCAGAAAGAAAGGCCTCACTAGAAACGAACCCTGCTGGCACCTTGGTTTTGGACTTCCAGCTTCCAGAACTGTGAGAAAATAAATTTCTGTTGTTTAAGCCACCCAGTCTGTGGTATTCTGTTATGGCTGCCCAAGCAGACTAATACAGAGCTGAATTTCCAGATTGTCCAGTGCTCTTGGTAAATGCCCAGGCTCACAGACCCATCTGACCGCCTGAAGCAGAATCTCTGGGGGAGAGAGCCCAAGAATCCATGTTTTGACCAGGCTCCCGAGCTCATTGAAGTGTCCTCTCCATGAGCTCCTGGGGGCAGTGAAGACTGATTCCCCTAACCCTGTGGCCACCAGCTCCTCTGACCACCAGCCTCCTTCTCTGTGCCCAAGAGGAATTCACATCTTGTCTGGCCTCCAAGTTAGCTGGCAAGCTCATTGTGCCAAGTTGCTTCATTTCCTTACACTCTCACTGAGCCCTCCACGAGCCGAGCCAGGGCAGGGCTGGATGTGAAGTCTGGAAACCAGACATAAGTCAGATCTGAGCCCTGCCACTGAGCACTCCTGGTCCACGGAGAGCTCCACACAGATGTGAATAGCCCTGACCCTGGGCAGATGTGGTAAGAACTGCGGGAAGGGGAACCTGGCAATATGGGTATTTATTTGTTGTATTTTGGCTTATCTGTAGTGGAAGCAAGTTGAGGGCAAGTGCCCTGTCTTACACATCCTCATCCCCTCTACCCCCTTGGACATAATAGGCTTCAATGGTTTGTGAGTTCCTGGCCTTCTGGCTGCTTTCAGCTTTAGTAGGAACAGCCCTCCTAGTCGCTGGGGGCAAAGTTTTAAAAACACAAGACCCAATCTGGCAGAACAAATACATACTTCAGAGTCCACGAACCCTGGGTTCTGAGTCTAGTTTTCCCAGTGACCACCTGTGTGGTGTGACCTCAGACAGTCACCTTGTCTCTGACTTTCCTCACTGTAAAACAAAAGAGGGGTCATGATATTTCCTACACACATTTGTTTACAGAATTAAATAAGGTAACCTCTGTGAAGCTCCCACTGTCTGGCACTCAACAAAGGTTATTTCTGTGAAGATAGTGATAAAAATTAAGTGTGATAGACGACCTCTCAGTAATGACCCACCAACTAACGGGCATTTACTGGGCATCCACCTTCTGGGCAGCAGGCCCAGTGCCCAGCGTTGGAACCGTGGAGAGGGCTCATGGCCTCAGTGCTGACACATCAGCTCCAGGAGGGCAGGGACTTCTTGTTCACCCGCCATTGTACTCCCAGCAGCTAGAACCACCAGGCACATAGTAGGTGCTTAGTAATTTGCTGAATGAATGGGATGAATCAATCAATCAATAAATGACTGACTGGAAGGTCCAATCCAGTGGGCCTCTGACTCATTTTTAAGACCTTGAGCAAGTCCTTTGAGCTCTCTGAGCTGCTTCTTCCCCATCTGTGAAGCCAGAGGTGTTTAACTCATCTTGAGGTCCTGCCGAGCAGGATTAATAGAACAAAAGTAAAAATAGCAACAATAATAAGTAAACTGGAGCACTGCTATGGACCGGCACTGTTGTAAAGAACCGCAGGAGGTAATAGTATTTTACCTTTATAGAAGAGGAAACTGAAGCACAGAGAGGCAGGGGAGGCTCCCGGAGAAGGGGGATTTGGGGATCGGAATGAGCAATGGAGAAGAGGACCCACTTCCCAGAGGGGAAGGCCCTGTGCAAGGTGTCACTGCGCAGTGGTAGCTGCAGATGCGGGAGAGGCCAACCCCGCCCCCCGCGTCTCCATGGCAACAGCCGCCCCACTGCGTCTCAAGCACTGGCGCTCCGGCTGGCGGCGCGCGCTGAAGCCAGACGCAGGCCGGGCGGAAGCAGGCCCGGCGCGCTGGGCGGCGGGAGCGCGGGGCGGGCCTTTAAAGAGACAGTCCCCCGGGCCGGTTCGCCCACGGGAACTGCTGCTGATGAGGGCTGGGTGGCTCCGGGAGTCGGGATCGAGGAAGTAAAGCAGAAGCAGGGCTGTGTGACACCCCCTGGAGGTGACAAGGGAGAGAGGGGCTGTGTGAATGCCCTCCGGGGCAATAATGGGATGGCTGTCCCCCAGGGAGCAATATGGGGGAGAAAGGAATATGGAATTGCACTTTCTGGGTAATAAGAGGGAGACAGGGGTATGTAACCCCCCAGGACAGCGAAAGGGAGCTTGGACTCCAAAATTGCCAATTGGGATAATAAGGGTGGGACTCCATAGCTGTTCCACCCCCCAAGGAGGGAGCTGGGGCTCCACGCGAGAGTCAGAGGGCAGGTTAAGAGGGATCATAGGTTCAGCTTAGGACAGTCACCTTCTCCCATCCCCTACTTTCAGCATCCTGCCATCTCCCTACCCCGTCGGGGTGCCCAGCCATGGCCAGACCACCAGCCACGGGCTCAGTGATTGTCCCAGACTGGCACGAGAGCGCCGAGGGCAAGGAGTACCTGGCCTGCATCCTGCGCAAGAACCGCCGGCGGGTGTTTGGTAAGTGACCCCCCCCAAAGGCTGTCACCTGTCACTCCCTAGGGAGAACAGTGTCACCTGTCACTCCCTGGGGGGAGCAGAGGAGCAGGGCAGTGGGGACCTGCTCCACAGCACTCAGCCTTGGGGACCCCTGCAAATCCTATCCCTGGGGCCCCCACCCCCAAATCGCCTTAGAGCTAATTCCATCATCAGAGCCAGGAACATGGAAACAGCCAAAACCCTGCCAGGAACCACTGTCACCAGAGAAGCTGTTGACTGAGCCCTCAGCCCACGCCAGGCCCTCTGCTGGGCACTTGACACAATGGACTCCCATTCAACCTTCTCAACAGCACATTTTACAGACTTGTCCAAGATCTAGTAAGTAGAGACAAGCCTTTTCCATATCCTGCTGTCTCCAGAATAAGACACTCATTTTCCCCAGGATGAAGCCAACTCACCCAGGCAGGGCTGGGATGACAGGCCAGCAGAGGGTCCAGCTCTGGGCAGGAGAGACAAAGCGCTAGAAGGCTTAAGACCAGAGAATGAGAGGACAACCCATAACTTAGGACTTTCAGGTCTTAATGCCTACAGATGTGTCATAATGTAAACAGGTTTTTTTGCAAGTTTTAAATTTAAAATATTCATAAAGGGGCTGGCCCGGTGGTGCAGCGCTTAAGTGCGCGCGCTCTGCTTCAGCAGCCCAGGGTTCGCAGGTTCGGATCCTGGGTGCACACCGACGCACCGCTTGTCAGGCTGTGCTGTGGCGGCGTCCCATATAAAGTAGAGGAAGATGGGCACAGATGTTAGCCCAGGGCCAGTCTTCCTCAGCAAAAACAAAAAAGAGGAGGATTGGCATTGGATGTTAGCTCAGGGCTGAGCTTCCTCAGAAATAAAATAAAATAAAATAAAATATTCATAAAGATGTCAACATATTGATTCTAAGAAGTTTATAGTAGGGCCGGCCCCATGGCTTAGTGGTTAAGTGCATGCGCTCCGCTACTGGCGGCCCAGGTTCGGATCCCGGGCGCGCACTGACGCACC